GACATCTAGCATTTTCCAGCATATAACTTACTCTTGACATCTGTGTTAACGTAATCTGTTTTAATCTCGTTGACACATTAACCTTTTGTTCTAAACTATTATATTATAAATAAATCTTTTTTTAATTATTATTGTTATATTTTAAATGCCTTGTGTCTATTTATGCACCTAGTAATGAAGAAACAAACAAAAACAGATAGTTAACAATAACTAAACTCGAGAAAAGAAATAAAACTTTCAAGATAAGAAAATTTATGTAGTAAAAAGTGAGGTAAACGATCACGTGACGCCTGTCTTCACACCTTCCGTAACCAAAGCGGAGGAAGTTGAAATAAAAGCGAAAACATCAGTAGAAGTAAAAACAAACATCGGCGCGTGTGTGGAACAATAAACTCGAACGGGAGCGACGACATTTCGATGTTTTTACGTACTCTTTATTAATTTTCTTTCTACTTATGTTTTACTCATAATTATTTATATCATAATCTTCAAATAAAGAATCGAGTGAAAGAAGTTAGTATATTTACCGTTTTCTTCATTTTGAGCTGTTTATTCCGAGTGCTGTATAAATGAACATATCATGTCATTCCATTTTATCATAATATCTGTTGTTTCTGACTCTCAAAGTTTAGTTAATTTGTCTTTTCCTATCTGGTTACGGTTGTTATATTACTGCTAATCTATTTTGCTTCCAACAAAAAATTCACAGAGCCTATCAATGTTCATGCAATAAACTATTTGGTGACATTGCATTTAGTTATAGACTACCATATATTACATTGACAAAAGCGTGCAGTTTAATAGTACTGTACACGACTAAAGTACTTGGCGAATCCTGAAAACGTAAACGAATCTGCCAAAATGATAACATTTCGAAATGAAGATGTATGCGCTCAGCATTCGCCTGATTTTATAATAGTTCAACAAAATATTTAATTAATAGTGAGCCACCATCTTCAGCGCAACCTACAGATCTGAACTGTGTTTTAAATCAATGCAAAATGCAGTTCTAATTACGTGGCTACAGCATGGACTGAATAAAAGTTATCTAACAGAAGAAATCATCTAAAGCAGACAACGTGGAATGTGACGTAGCAGCAAAAAAATTGTTTTAAACATTTATTGCAAGAACGGCATACACTGTGTAACGTGAAGTAAGCCCAAACATATTTCAATATTGTTTGGGCGTGCCTCCGCTATTGCAACAGATCAGATATAGGGTACGTTCGTAAAGTCGAACGAGTTAAACGCGTTAGTAACGAATCGTTCTAAAAGTAGTAGTCTCGCTCAGTGCGCATGCTCTGCGGTGATGACGTTTCGAACGAAACTCTAACGAAGTTCACGAAGGAAAGAGTTAGTTCATTTCGTTAAGAAAATGGCGGCCGACGATATCGATGTTTCTAAATCTACTCGAGTGTTTAAATTGTGAATTAAAAGGTGAAATGATTAGAATAACTGCCCACCCGAAGCAATCTAAGAAAAATATTTCGGTTAAGGCTGCACTAACAACATTCATATATTCGATTTTAGAAACATCCATTTAGTTATAAACGAATCGTTCGAAAAGTCTAACTAAATAAGAATAACGATGACGTCATTCTCGTTTAACTCGTTCGACTTTACGAACGTACCCATAATAAGAACACGAATGAGAATGATGCGTTCTCAAATAAGTAAGTGTGCAGCTCAACATTGTAACGATTGTGGCCTGTGAAAGAAAAGGAAGAAAAGTTTCTGGTTTACGGAACATGACTGTATTGCAACTTATTTAATCATTGCTTATTTAATCTAATCATTGCAACTTATTTAATCTATGTTCTTTGGGACATAAGTGCAAAAAGTAACCCTTAACCCAGGATAATAACTAAAGAAGACGAATCACTCTGACGACAATTAAAACTCGATCTGTAATGAAACATCTTTTTTCAAGCGAAAATTCGTTGGAGCTCTTCTGATATGACGAGAATTCTCAGAAACTGAATTCTTTAGTAAAAAACAGTTACTCAACTGAGATGCCTGTTTATGAACTATAACCGAGGTGTGCTAACTAATTATCAGGCAATGAGGACGATGTCACCTTTCTACAATAATGAAGAAGTTATGTATAAGCAGGATATACAACATGCAATGAGATATATGATCAGCAATATAAGATAGGTTTGAAGAACAAAACATTTAGCAACTGCGCTTTATGCTCATAAATATAAACTACACACATACACAGATATTTTAAAAAAAGCGGACACCGTTTGTGGTCGCATGACAAAGTAGGTAGCACCGCATGGCGCACGGAACTCTATCCGCAGGAAGATCGTGTGAGAGGCGTTTTTAATACTTAAAATGGCGACGTTTTCATTGCAAGAACAAAGCATAATTATTCGTTTTCTGCAATTGTGTACAATAACACCAACTGAAATTCATTGCATTTTCAGTGATACATGCAGTAATGATGTCATGGATATGAAAAATGTGCGTTCGTAAGTGCGACTGAAAAAAGGGCGAACATCGTGTGTCAACGAACCGAAACATTCATGTTCGCGCACCAGTCGGTGTTTCAAGTTGCTTCACGATCACAAACACTTTGTTATAACGAATTGTTTCCAGCATTGCAAGAAAATCAGCCAGAAAAGGCTGAACGTGCGCTCTTCTATAAAGACAATACTCAGCTCATCGGACGATGCTTACACAGATAAACAAGTTTGAAGTGGTTTCTCATGCTCCCTGCTCACCTGACCTTCCTCTTAGATATTTTTAGCTTTTTCCAACGATGAAGGACGCCTTTCGTGGTCAAATATTTTCCAGTCGTGCCGCTCTAGCATCCGCGATTTTTCAGTAGTTAAAACAGACCCCTAAAGAAGCGGTCGCAGCGGCAATAATGTCATGGCGTCGACGGCGTGAAAAATGCGAACGTTTGCTGAGAGATAATGTTGAGAAGTGACTAAAGTTTCAATTCGTTTGTGTGAGTATTTTCTCAGAAAAAAAGGAGACAGTATAACTTGAATGCACCAAGAAGAACAGCAAGACTGTCAGAAGAAAAATTATCAATATTAAGAACTCTTAGAAACAGGCTCTATTGTAATATTCAGAACTGAAATGTTGGCTGTAATTTCTTTTATAACTACCAACCTCGAGAGAATTATAATGATTGCGAGATTTGTACTGCATTTTAATTAATAATAACTGTTTGAGCAGCGATTTTCGTAAGATCTTGAGGTTCCCCATCGTCAACATCAAGATATTCCTGCTGGACTGCTGCTACGTCTTAGCAGAAAAAAAACATATAAGAATCAAATTTTCACGTAACTATGAGACTAGAGATGTACAAATAAAGGGCAATCAGACTTATATAATGTAATTTGTATCTATAGAACGTATAAAATTATCTGATAAAAGAAAGGTTTCATCCAAAATAACGATAATGTAAGAGTTTTAGATGCAAAATTGTTGTTTAGATGACATCTTTTCATACCACAAAAATAAACGATTACAATCCATTAAGATATACGACAACTCACCAAAAAACGTCATTCATGACGTTGAAAGCCAATTAGGTCCATTAAGACATGCTATAATCCATCACGAAACATCACTTATATTGTTGGAAAGCATGTCATAATTTACATAATTCTCAATAACTTTCGTGGCTGTAAAGCGTAATGGGACATAAAATTACTTATCCGAGGAATTAAAATACTGGAATGTTAAAAGCAAAATTAATCAATAATTTGTGAACGAAGCTTCCTCTTTCGATCGATAAATTGAATAATCTACTTTACTAGGCTTCTAAAGATGTCTTCGATGCACAGAGAAGAGATTTGCTTTAGCTGCCTTATACAACCATACTTAAATTTTGCGATAATTTTCGGTATCGAACCAGTCATTCCTTGTAAGTGTCAAGACAGACAACCTTCGACGTATTTTCAAAGAGTTGTAAAAAATATCTACATTCAAATTATAGAAATAATCGCATGGGAACATTTTGTGTTGGCGATGTTGGAGCTTATACCAACTCATATATTTAAATGCCCATGTGAATCTGTATTTTCTGAGATCGGAGATGGAAGAACAGAAATTAAAATTTTAGGCTTCGTTATATCATTCGCTATCGCAACGACATTTACATTACTTAAACATCACAAATTTAACGTAGACGTAAAATTGAGGCATCCAATTTTTCAGAATGCAAAAACATCACACACAGTTAATAATTTATCATTATTGGTATCTCTAATAGTAATTGTATTGGTTTTTTCGATGGCAATACTAAATTCTTTTATATTGTATCCAGCTTGGACTAAGGGAGCAACGTTTGTATATGAACCTTTTATTTGTTGCATAGAATATGCAATATGGAATAGTTACCTAATCGGAGAAATTGCTATGTTTATAACATTCGAGATAATAATTGGATTTGTAATCATAAAAGAATTCCAACAGCTGTCTTCAGAAGTCACATTGTTAAGAAAAAATCAGCATAACCTTCAAGACCGATTACAAGAAATCATGGCCCGTCACGATGATTTATGGTGCATTGTATCACAACTAAACAATAAATTCAATTATGTAGTCGTTGTGATTCATGCCTTTATAACATTCGGAACCACTTTCAGCTATTACCTGCATCTGTATCTAAATATGGAAAAATCCATCGNGGCAAAGGTTGAGAATGTTGAGAAGTAGATCCGAGCAGGTTTTCCATATTGTTAGAATAATGTCTTTGTTTATCCCATCTAGACCCGTGGCTTTGTTCCTTGGGAGACGGTTTAAAGAGTCATTGACCTCAGAATAGGTAAAAAGTGGGTAATCCTCCGAGAGCTCACTGTCATTCCTGCATCCTCTAATTGCAGAGTGCTTGGGAGTGTCCTCCGCGAGGGAGTCAGAAGGGCAGAAATAATCAAAAAGACCAGAAACTGTGGCTTCAAGACTGGCTGGATGTCAATACTGCTACTAAAAAAACTACGAGTTTTGAGTTTGTTTACACAGAGCTTATATATAAACCCCTATGGGTCTCTACCCGCACCTGCGCAGAAAGACTTCCAAGAATCTAGTTTTGCCTTCTTTATGGCCTCCTTATACCCTCTCTGGCAAGAGAGGTACTGCAAGCGCAGTTCCTCCCTCCTTTCATCATGGCATCTCTGGAATATCCTGCGTAGTCTATTGTTGTTCTGGCGCATAAGAGATAAATCCAAATTCCACCATGGAGTTACCCGTTTTTTGTTTTTCCTCCTGGGAATGGATTCCACGCATGCGGAAGAGATTTTGAAAATAGCTGACTCAATATAGGTCTTAGCTTCAGTATGTGATACAATCCTAGAGGAAGGCATGCCGATCCGCTGAATAGTGTCCTGAAATTCGCACCAATCAGCTGCCTTGGTATTAAAAGCATTCTTGTTGTTCGAAGCTTCTGCATCCTGCAAATTATTGCAGCCTAGGCTATAGGTTATACACTCGTGATCAGAGAGGCAGTCAAAAATGCCTACCTGCCAATTCTGAATAACAGAGCAGAGACCTTTGGAACAGATGGTTAGATCAATCCAGGAATGACCATTAGATGACGAAAAGGTTGGTGGAGAGTCTGGGTCATTAACCACCAGAAGGCCATGTGCAGCAATAAAGTTCTCCATGGCCTCACCCCTACTGTCTCTACACTCGTCCACCCAAGTAGGCAAATGCACATTAAAATCACCCGAAATTAAAAAGTTAGTTACTGAAATGAGTCACAGCCAACTCCAAGTTCTGGATGGTTTCATAGATATCTGATCTACTCGAGCAATAGACATTGAAGATGATAATGTGTAAATCCGGAAGGTAGATCTCGATATAAATGCAGGTACAGGAAAAAACTTTGGGTAAGAGATAGTGGCCAAGGTAGGGTTAGTAACAATGACTGCGACCCACGGTCGTTTATGTTGGCTCTGAATGTTAATGTCTTTGTTGCTAAAACAAGATACCCTATTCTTACGACAATAGGGCTCCTGCACTAAAACGATGTCATAGTTGTTAATCTCCTGTCTGAGCTGAGAGCTGGCAGAGATCGCTCGTTCCAGATTAACCTGTACAATACGTAGTTCAGAGTTCTTATGGCAAATGTTATTATTTCTATTAGATGCCATAGTCTATTCTGGCAAGGAGCTGTGTTCTTGATCGAATAAAGGCACGACAAACTTTATCGAGCGCATTATGATCTATTACCATATTATTATGTTTAATGCAGTTCATACATTTTGGAGTTTCTGGTTTATTATCGCAATCTTTGAAGACATGATTGCCTCCAAACTGACTGCTTGTACGATTTTCTGCATGACAGTTTTTGGCAAAATGCCAAAATTTCATGCATTTGAAACATCGATCCGATGGGAGGAAGTCTAAGACACTACACATAGTCCATTGCAAGTTTATCTTCTCCACTTTAAGGAGGA